TTCTGGCGAGTGCTCGCGCCCTATAGCAGAAACCTCTCCAAAAAAAAAAAAAATTCAAGGTAGAAATATTTCTAGATAATTGACCTGTAGAACACAACAGTTCTTTAATTAGCACTTACGACTTTTTAAGTTGCAAATGATTTCTTCAAGGAGATTTCAAAGTGTCATGTACATTAAATCGTAATTTTATTTTTTCTTAACATGGCATTGCTACTATTTAAATGGACCACTGCCTTTCTGAGCACTAGCCGCGTCAGCATCATTCCTGTCAGAAATGCAGACTCTTGGGCATCACTCCAGCACTGGATTCAGAACTGGTTTCCAAAGATGCCTAGTTTAATTCATTTAATCATGGCGACATTTGAGAAGCACTGTTCTTAACTATTATCCATGGTGTTACTGACGAACTAAGTCCGCCTACTTCTTCTCATGGTCAATGAAATCAAAGACAGAGGCCAGAGAACTTGCTACCAGGTTATAGGGAAACAGTCAGCAAGAAACACCAAAACTGTTTCCAAAAGCTCAACACGTACTCCGTATGTATAGATACAAGCACGTGCAAATCGTTCCTCACTGCAATTAATTGAAAGCCTATCACTTTCTTTCGAGCAGTTTTCCTGATGACTGTTTTTCCTTTGAATGCTCATTCCTGGTTTCTCATCTGACCATGTCTTAAGCAGACTTCCCTATGACTCACTCAGCACTTGTTGAGTTGTTCTTGTGAGAGGTTTTTCTTCATTTCAAAATGGCTACAGTCCTGCCAAACCTTAAGCTAGCCAGTTTCACTGACTCTAGATTCCCCTTTTTCTTTCTCTGCCATACTGCACACACCTAGAATACGCTTTCCTCCCTAAAAAATTGGAAAACAAAATTCCTAACCCAAACCATTTTCACTATTTCATCATTCAGAGCAGTTAAAGATATGTAAGGTAAGTGGATACTGATGATTATATCAATATTTGTTAAGGGTAAAATAAATGGTTAAAATATAACTAGATAGAACACTTTCCAGGGATGTTGTAAAGAGTAAATGAGATAATAATAAGCAAACATAATAGACTACTGGGTACAAGTACTATTCTATAGGCAGTTATTACTGTGTTATTTTTCATGACACTTCAGAAAGGTGATTATTATCATCTCCATTTTGTAAAAACAAAACAAAACACACACATACCAAAAAAAAAAAAAAACAAAAAACAGAAATGGGAAACAGAAAAACAGTAAAGAACTTATTCAAGGGTTCATGACAGGTGCACAGAAAAATGCAGACCCCAGAGCCTAGGGGTTTGACTATTCTGCCTCTGATGCATGTAAGAGCATTGTAAGGTGCTTTTACATGAATTTACAAATGTAAATTTTTTACATTTGTGTGGCGGTTAGACATATAATCAATAGTTGTAAGTATTATATTATTCTGAAAGTCTTTCAAGGACACATTTAGGGGACCATGGATAGGATGTTCTAACTGAAGAGGAGATGGTACAAAAAGCACATATATCTACTCCGATAGACATTCCGAAAGGTTTGTTGTTGAATTGTTTGCAGTTTAGGAGCACTCTAATTTTATTTAAGGAAATTGCGTACCCCCAACCCTCAGTTATTTGGTTATGGTAAAACCTCCCTTTCTCCCATATCCTTTTTTTTTTTTTTTGGAGAGGTTTTTGTTATAGGGCACATGCTCTCGCCAGAAAGACTGAGAGAGACAGAGAGACAGAAAGCAAAAAATCACTCCTCAGGGGGATGGGCATGCCACAATCCCTCCTCCTCTATTCTTCTGTCAGGATCTTGGGCACACACACACACACACACACACACACACACTCCTGGTATGAGTTTAAGCCACTGGGCCTGGGACTCGAACTGTAATCGACTACATGAGAGTCTAGCCATGTAGCCATTATGCCATCTGCTGGTCCCCCTATCTCCTGTTTTGCCAGGTATGGACAGGAGGCTCAAACCTGGACAGTCGTCATATTTCAACATACTGCCACTAGACTGGTTCAGGGATGGGCCTATGACTGGAGCAAGGCGAATGAAACTCAGTTTGGTAGCTACTATTGGTTGATTGAAATGGTAAGAGTGGAGGGGTAAGAAGGAAGGTCAAAGAGAAAAGAAAGAGTTGAACCAAGAGAGAGTGGAGTCATTGAAATGATCATCTGTAAAGAGTTTCAGGAAGCGATGCACCAGTATTATCATCTTAATAGCTGAACAATGTTTTTGTATGATTTTGAAATGAACTAGCAAAATACTTGGCTAAAATATTTTATCTACTTTAAGTAACTACAACTTCGGTCATGATTGATCATTCCCAGCAGGATCTGTGTCTGTGTAAATAGGCATATTGATTTTTTTTCAAAAGAGAAGATAGGTGATCTCATTAATTTCTTTTCACATCAAAGGTTTCCTTTTAGGGATTTTTCTTTCACTCAAAAACATACTGAATGAGTCAGGGTGTTAATCTGTTTTGCTCTAGTAAATTCTGTCTTGTTATTATAGAGATGTTTTTCAATGTGGTAATGAATGCCTAGTTGATTGTTAGTGATTTATTTTTACTTGCTTATTCACTTACAACTCTTTATTAGGCTTCAGATATGCACCAAGCATTGTGCTGGAGAGAATGAGATTTAAAGGGACCCCTTCAAGGAGCTCTCCACTCAGGGCCTGGTGTATACAGACGCTCAGTAATAGACTGCATCGTCATAAACCCCTCTATGTGTGTAGGATGCATTTCTTTAACAGTGATAGATTGTGAGGACCATGCTTGGCCCTCAAGTATCTTCTGGGACTCAGACAGGAGTTGAGGGCTTGGGCCTTTATACTTCTTTTCTAGCTAGTAGTTATTCTTTGTCGTGCCCAAGGTCAGCGATACTTTTAGTGGTTCATAATGAAATAATTAATTACATCTAGTGTTGATACAATTTTGAATACTGATGGTGGAGTAACACCGTGATAATACAGTAAACAATGATTTTGGTCTCTAATACTTTACTAGTTGTGCGTAAAATAGTGGCTTTCCCCCCTAAGTCCCTGTCCTAATCTCTGAAACCAGTGAATGTGACCTTATTCGGAAAAGGGTCTTTGCAGATGCTACTAAATTAATTAAGCACTTGAGATGAGGTAATCCTGTATTATCTAGATGGACCCTGAATCTGATGACCAGTGTCCCTAGAACAAATGGACATGAAGACACAGACACAGAGGAGAGGCCATGTGAGGATGGAGGCAGAGGTTGGAGTTATGCACCCATGTATCAAGGAATACCCGAACCCAGAGACTGGCAGACAGGCTAGGAAGGATTTTTTTCCAGAGCCTGGAGAGGGAGTGCAGACCTGCTGACACCTTGATTTTGGACTTCTAGCTTCGAGAACAGTAAGAGAATAAATCTAAGTGGTTTTAAGCATCAACTTGTGGAAATTCATTACAGCAGCCAGAGGACACGAGTGCGCTAGTTCACACTGACTATTTACTATAGAATTCTTTGTGTGTTGGTTTGTTTCATGATCCTGTAGGAAAACCAGTATCTCCAGCTCCAACTTCTTGTCTCCATCCATTATTAGAAACATTTTTCTGTTTTTTGAGGTTTGATGAAAACCCAGAGGTTAGAGTTTCTGGGTTATTTTTGCCTACCAAAGGCACTCCAGGATGTTCATTTAGGGCACAACGATAGCATTTCTGAATAAGGTGGTTTCAATAAGTGGTCTAGAGATCCAATGGCTTTTCAGAAAGGTGACAGAGGTCCTGAGAAAATATTCCTATAGGAAAAAATATATATATATTTGCAAAGTCCAACCCGTGGGATAGTTTCTTTCAATAATGCAGAGTGGCTGGGCAAGGGAATCAGGAGTTTCTGACCACAGTGGTTTCTTAAGCTATGGAAGGGCACTTTCTCATTGTGCCTCTTTCTCTGGTGCCTCTTCCTATAAGGGTGTCGGTTAAATTAATTTCTAGCAGCTTTCAAAAATGAGCCACTCCCCTAATGTAGAATATGTCTTCTCCCCTTCATTCTCTCACAGTTACATCCTTGGTTTCTTTCACAGCAGCCTGTACAATTGGTAGTTTTATGGATACTTGCTTATCTGTCCGTCTTCCTGTCCCCAACTCTGTTCAAACAACACAATAACTGCACTTAGCATGTTGTCTGGCACTTAGTACATCCTCAATAAAAGTATATTAAATAAAGAAACGAATGAACATTTTGAGTGGACAGCAAGAAAAAATGACTCTATTTTGTGGCTGAAATCATATTGTTCAAGGACAGATTTTTTTTTTTTTAAACTTGCTACGTCAAACGTCAATGAATTTCAGAATTGAAAGGGAAGTGCAAGTGGTTACTTAGTTCAACCTCCACTAGATGCATGAATGCCCTCTTCAGTCCTGCCGACAAACAGGACAGGAAATCCACTATCTTACTCCTGGTCTTTTCCATCTCTCTGTCTTTTCCCAGGCCTTCCAATGATTGCAGTCTTAATTATAACGTTTTCAACACCTGCTGCAGCAGAGGTCTGGAGGTCTGGGGTGGGAGAGACAGGCGAACACCAGTGCCTGGCTCCTGCGGGAGAGCCTGTGGCTCGGTGGTTCGCGCCTTAGCTGACTGCTGGAGGAACTCGCGGCGCCGCGCTCCCTCTCGGTTCGTCAGGGCTCTCGGTTTTCCTGCGGGCAGGGGGGCTGCCTTGCCAAGCTTCCCGCCTCTCTTCCAGCAGGCCCGCCGCCAGGCTCAGCGGCCTTCCCCTCCGCCGCCCCAGGTCACCTGCACGGCCGCCTCAGCCACTTAAGGTCCGGGGTTCTTGCCCCGGAGCCACAGCCGAGGGCGCAGGGCGGGGGGCTCGGGGAGGGGGCGGGTGGCCACTGGCTCTCCTCTCCTTCCCCTCCAGCCCAGCCTGCTCCTCCTCGGCCCCTCCTCCCACCGCGGCTGCCCTCCTCTGCTCTCGTGAGTTTCCTGGCACCTCGGGCGAGGAGTTTGGAGCCGCCCCAGTGCAGAGCCCACGGCCCAGCGCAGGGCCGCCGAGCGCGAGCGACGCAGGTGCCCAGCCCCGGGGCCGCCGCCATCTCTGCCTTCCGTCGGGGTTGGACTCCGGGATCCAGGTGGGACCCGCTTGCCTCTCCTGCAACCCGTCCTGCCACCTTTCCCGCTCAGCGCAACTCAGGAGAGGGCGTGGGGACGCGCGAGGCAACTTGGGGCAGGGAGCCCGGGGCCACCGGAGGGGCCCAGCGCTCAGCGGGCGGTAGGGGTAGGGTGTGGAACCGGGTGGGACTCCGGGAGACACTCGGCTTCCACCCGACGAGGAGGATCCGGCGCGGGGCTGACAGCAGCCGACCGCCGCGGGGCGCGCACCTGCTGGGGGCCACGGAAGGACGTGCCCCTGGCCGATTTCCTTTTAAGGCCTCCAGCCTCCTTCAGAAACGGTAGGGACTGCGACAGAAACCAGTAAGCCCTGGGCCCCCCAGAAGGGATTTGTTGGTTTGAATGACAAGAGAAAGTAAATTGGGTTGTAGGATGGTTTAGACCTCAGCTTTCCGTTTCCCACCCTCTCCTTCCTCTCAAGCGAATTAACAAGAGTAAATCCCAACCAAAGTACATATCTAAAGGGGTTCAGAACGGTGAGAAAGAGACCCACCTGAGGCTCATTTTGGAAACCTCAGGTACAGTGATGTCGTCTAGAAAGCTGATTATTGCGGGTGCTGGTTTTAGGACTTGTGTTTGCAAACAGGAGATGAGAATGGCTCTTGTAAATCAGAGTTCTTTATACTGAGGAGTTCCCTGGAGTTAACATTTATTTCCAGAAGTATTAAAGTGTATTGAAAGAAGTGCTCTTTCAGAGCTCTGGACTTGGAATGAGAAGAGCTGAGTCTGGGTATGATCTCGCATTGATTATCTGTGGTGGCTTAACTTCTGTGAGCCTCAGTTTCCTCATCTTTCAGTGCAGAGGGCTGGATGATGATGATTTCTGAGTCTTTTAATTATGGTAGAAGTATTGTACATTAAAAATACGTAATTGTTCAACTTTTTAACCTGTTACAAACATTGTTAGTTTTATCATTTAATGAAACTAAAACAACAACAGAGAAACTATTTATCTGGGCATTTGGTCTTCATGCACTTATAGCTCATGCTTTTAGGATTTTCCAGACAATAGTTGTAGAGAAACATGAAGGGCTCAGAGATACGTAGTTCATAGATGACTATCCAGGTCACCTTTGGCACTTTCTTAAAGGACCATGTTTACCTTAAAGCCAACATTTGTGACATTGCCACAAAAACAGTCGGCCTACACTTATTCTCTTGCAGTATTGTACATTTGGAGGAAATAAACATTGTTTTGGAGGAAAACAAAAACAAGGCCTTTCCTGTCAATTACTACTTTTGAACAGTGTTTGTTACTTTTTAGCATGAAGTTGTGTACAGAATGTTAAAAAAGTGGTTTCAGACCACTTCAGAGCATCTCTGAAATTAGGCTCAATAACAGAGATGCCAATTTTAGTAATGCATTTAGTTGTCTTGGAATGAATCCCAGAACATCGAAGAGGTTAACTAAACAGATAAACTAGGCATTAGGAATTGACACACACACACAGAAATTGTTCAAGGAGTATATATTGTCAGGTGTCAGTGTACCTTTTCCTTTGTTTTTATTTAAAAAGACGTGGCTGGTTAAGCACAGGATACTAGAATATGTTTTGTTGCTACTTATCATGTTTTACTGATAGCATTTTCAGAATTATCTGAAACTTAGTCATCAGTAGTTAAGATAGGCTTAGACATGTTTCTGGATCTTTTTGATGGCTTGGGCTACAGTAAAAATCATCTGTTCCCACCCACATGTACTTGGTAGGCAATTGGTCAGACTGGAGTGGATTTGAAGTATTCTTTCTTGAATACATTTTAACTTATTCTCAATGACTTTTTGCTTTTGGGCTGCAAATGTCACTGGCCATTTAGGCATTTGTCTTCCCTTACCTTCTCTGGTGAAGTAGATGTCATTGCTTTTCAAACAGATGCCCAGAGAGTTCAGTAAATAGCGTGTTGAATGAGCAGGGAGCAGTAGAACTCAAATATTCTTGGCTGCTAGTTTCCTGGAAAACAACAGGAACAGCAATGGATCTCACTGCTCACTGTCCACAACCAGCTCATTCATGGCTTGGGAGCGTCTTACTGGTTTCCAGAAGGTCTATTCCTCTTTTGTAATGTGAGGACTTTCTCTCCCAAGAAATCATATCTTCACACTTAGATCACTCTTGTAAGACCAAATGGTTTGTGTTTGTGCGTGCAGTATCTTTGGGAGGTCTTGGAAAGAAAATCTTAAAGTACACAGAAAAAAAAAAATGAATTCTCTTGGCAGATACTGTGTTGCATTTTTTTAAACCAAGAGCCAAATGCACATACTAAAAAATATGCCCCGTGGAGTTCCAAATGAAGAAAAAGGCTTATAGTGTGCTCTAATTATTAAGATTTTATGTGATTTACAAATTCCGATTTTAATTAAATTAGAAAGGCTCATACATTCACCTGTTGGCCAGACTTAGTACATATAACCTTTTCAGTTTCTAGTCAAATTTGATCTTCTTATAATTTGGAATATTCCTTCTCAAATATTTTTTATTACTTAACAGTGATAATTATCTGTTGTCTTTTTACATACATAATCTTATTAATCTTTAAAAAAATGTTTACACTTTGAACTATAACCTACATAGGGAGACATACCTAAAACAAATTTGTTGATTAAAAAAAGTAACAAATCATTATAACAGATCATTAAAAGGCAAACATCCCACTACTGCCTACTTGAGAAAGAGAAAATTACCCACAACTAGAAGCTTCTTTGATTGTTACTTCCCTATTACAAACCTAGTTTTACTTTTTTAAAAAGTAAACATTGTAGACATTCTTTTGTAGGTTATTTGCTTAACAGTGTGTGTCTGAGATTAAGCCATTATCTTCCCTTTTCTTTTAAGAGGCCGATGCCTTATCCATTAGGCTACTGGGGCTTCTCTATCTTCTCTTTCCGTTAAAGCAAAACTTTTGCAAGAGTTCTCTGTATTCCTGTCTCCAATTACTCTCCTCACACGTTTTTCCTATGTCCACTGCCAGCACCTTCTGTTTTCAATATGGTGCCCAAACTGCTTCCGTCAATATTACTAGTGATACCACCTTTGCTAATCCAATAGTCATTTGTCAGTGTTCATCATACTACATTTACTGGCAATATTGTCCCAGTTATCATTCTCTTCTTTTTGGAACAGTTCCAGGACATCATGTTCTAATGATTTTTCCTCCTTCTCCACTGGCTGTTTTTGTCTATATTCTTTGATGGCCTCTCTTCATTACTCAGAGGTTTTAATCTTGGAGTGCCTTAACGTTCAGCTCCTATCTCTTGATATTTTTTTGGTGATTTCATGCAATCTCTATGTATACTGATGACTAAGAAGATGATAGCTCAAGTCTTGACTTCTCCCCCTCCAAGCCTCTACATCCAGCTGCTTATTCAGCATTTCCAGTTCAATATACTCCAGATGTAATCTTCGTCTTGCCCAAACCCTTGCTTTATTCAAGCTTCTGTTTCAATCTTTCATATTTTTTTTCATCTTTCCATTTTTTCATTTCCAAGCCTTAAAGTCATATTTTATTCTTACTATTCTCTCACATCTCACATATAATATGTTGGGAAATCTCCTTTGCTACAAAATAAATCCAGAATGTAGTTTTTTCTCGTCACCTCCATGGCTGCCACTTTGGTATGAGCTGCCATCATCTCCCGCATGGATTATTGTAAAGACAGCCTTGCTTTTCTTACTGTTTCTATCCTTTGCTTTCTTCAGCTCATTCTGAAAACAGTGACCAGAATCTCTTTTTACAGTGTAGGTCAGATCATTTCACTTTTCTATTCCAAACTCTCCAGTGGCTTTCTCGTTTCAACAGAGTAAAACTCAAAGTTCTTTGGATGACTTGCAAGGCCTTACTGACATTTCTACCTTTTCCTTTGCCTATTTGATCTCGTTTTTAACTGTTTTTCCTCTCAGTCCCTCAGTTCCAGTCACACTGGGCTCCTTGCTGTTCTTGGACAGATCGGAAACCCTATTTTCACTTTAGTTTTCTCTGCCTAGAATGCTTTTCCCTTAGATATCCACAGGGCCTGCTCTGTCACTGTCACTTAGTCTTCGTTCAAATGTCCCCTTTTCAAGGAATCCTACCTTGATTATTGTATTTAAAATTGAGTATCTTTAATAAATTCTTTCCCTTGCTTTCCCCATAGCATTTATTCACCATTTAAAATCTTGTAGAACTTCTCAATTACCATTTTTTCCTTTGTCCCATTTCTACTATAACGTAAGCTCCATCAGGGCAGAATTATTTTTTTCTTTTCGTTTCTATCTTGCTCAATGTTGTATCCCTAGTGTGAGAAATAGGGCCTAGTATGCAAGAGATGCTCAGAATACTTTGCTGATTAAGTGCTGTTATTTGCTTATTTTCATTGCTAGATATATTCCAGTGTATGAATATAACACATCAATTTTTAAATTGATTCCAATTATGGATATTTTCTTCCTTCCCTCCTCTTTTTCCGTCCTTCCCTCTTTCCTTCCTTCTTTTCTTCCTTACTTCCCCTTGCAACTATAAATAAAGAAGCTATGACCCACCTTCTTCAAGCATCCTGCTGTACAGGTGCAGGAATGTATTTAGAGTCTCAAAGTAGTAGGCATTTTGGACCAGCAGGTGGCAAGGGAGTTAAGGCAGCTGGATCCCACATGTCCAACTGTGTGATTCAAGTTCTGGACCCAGCAGCTTGAAAAACATGCTAAGTGCACACAAAATCCTAATGGGAAGGAGACATGGAGGAGAAGGAATTCAAGCATTACCATCCTCCAATGGCAGGTGCTTTCTCACAGTCTCTGTCTCTCTTCCCCAGGCCTGTCCGCTCACTCTCTAACAATTGAAACAAAACGAAACAAAAGACTAGCAGGGAAATTACTGGGTCATAGATCTTGTAGACTTCAGCCTTGTTAGGCAATGACACACTTTTTTTGCATGTGGCTTTGCCTTATTTGTATTCCTGCTTTTATTGCTGTCCATCTTTACCAAAATG